GATCTTCGGGCAGCGGGTAGGTGGCGGGTACCCCTACCCCCACCTATCCCCCACTGACTCATTCATCTCAATTTCGTCCCGGGATCCTTTGTGGAACTCAAAACCATGCATAGACACTTTCAAACGCAATTAACGATACCAAGTAGTCAATTAATGGATCAAAAGCAAGAATCACGTATAACTCATCCTATTACGACTTCTAAACATAAGAAACACCCGAACATGCGAATTCCCACCCTATATATATATCAATAACATTATAACACAATTTCCCAACCCATCCTAGGGGTCTAATCCCTCCCAAATCATCAAGATCACAATTTATCTTTAACACCAAGAATTATCAAGATTTGTCAAGAATCGTTTCATCAATATCAAGAACCTATCTTCATCATCAAGATCATCAAGATTACCAAGAATACTCACAAATTATCTTATCAATCATCAAGAATATATCACAATAGCATAGAGGTATAAATCAAGATGCAAGCATATAGAAGGAGGCCAAGGAAGGAGATTATAGCGAAGAAAATAGGTTTTGTTGAGACATGGGTTACCTCTTAGCCTTAATTAATTTCCTTGGCTATGAAGGGTCTTTCTTTAGGATTTCTCCTTTCTTGATTTCTCCTAAGGGAATTCTTGGAACTTCTTGTGTGGTGAGAGATTATTTGTGGTGTGAGTTCTAGGTGCCTCCTATGTCCCTATTTATATAATTAAGAGTCCTATTTAGGGTCTAAGTGACATGGGTTTACTAATCCTATTTCTTATAGGACTAAGGGGTTGGCTTTTAGGGATAATGGGCCCATGGACCATGGTGGACCCCTTTTTAGCTAATTAATGGATTTTAATTCCCTTTTTAGGATGGGTGATAATTTAATTGATTTTAATTTAGGGGCCGTAACACAGGGTGTTACATGTGTACTTCAGGAACATCATGGGATAGTGGATGGTTTTGCTAGGGAAAAGGATGGCTTGTACCTGCTCACCAATCCTCCTATCAAGAAGAAAACTTGTTTTTCTAGTACCATGTCAACATCTTCTTGTAATAATCTTTCTATAGAGTTGTGGCACAATAGATTAGGCCACTATCCTGTGAAGAAGTTACATTTGTTGAAAGGAATAAAACTTGTCTCCCCTCATAAAAATCCTGCTCTTGTATGTGTGTGACATTTGTCATTTTGCTAAACATAAGAGGTCCAGTTTTCCTATTAGTGCAAACAAGGCTTAAAGTCCCTTTGATTTACTCCACATGGATGTCTGGGGGCCATTTGCTATGCCATCCCTAAAAGGAAATCATTACTTTTTAACCATTGTTGATGACCATAGTTGGTTCACATGGTTACACTTAATGAAGCATAAGTCAGAGGTGAGAACTGTCTTCCAGAACTTCTACAACAATGTTTAGACTCAGTTCACAGCCAAAATCAAGGTGTTTAGACAGTGTGTTTAAAGAAAAAGGGTATCATCTATCAAAAATCTTGTGCTTACACACCCCAACAGAATGGGGTGGCTGAGAGAAAGCATCAACAGATTCTTAACACTTCTAGGGCTTTGAAATTTCAAGCTGGTCTATCAGATGATTTTTGGGCCCATTGTGTTCTACATGCATCATACTTGATCAATTGGTTACCCACTGAGGTTCTCCATTGCAGTAGCCATTTTTAGGTTTTGTTTGGTAAGGAGGTGGATTATAATCATCTGAGATCTTTTGGATGTTTATGCTTTGCTGCTACCTCATCACAAGGTAGAAACAAGATGCAATCAAGGGCCATAAAAAGTATTTTTTTGGGCTTTCATGCTGCTGTGAAAGGTTATGTTCTATATGATTTGGGTGATACAGTCACTTTTGTGTCCAAAGATATTACTTTCTATGAACACATCTTTCCTTGAAAAACTGATGGTTTAGGGACTGACCATGATGAGGGCATGCCATAAATGTTCAATCCTTCTTTGCCACTGATTCCCATCTCTACTAGAGTGGATACTAATATTCTGGAACAGGTGAATAGACAGATCAGTGATGAAGGTCACAATCACATTGCTGAACAATCAATACTGATGAGGACTCCCCAGGATCATCTGATCAGTTAAACATTGGAAACTCTCCCAGGGAATCTGCTGAGCACTCTTTCCTTAGTAGGGATTCTAATGAGTCACTGCAACTTGAAGTTCTTTTACCTATGGATCATGCTGACCAGCCAAAACCTAGAAGATCAACAAGAGAAAGGAATGTCCCTCTCAAATTCCAGGACTACTTATGTCAATCAGATTTGCTACAAAAGGATGTTATCAGAACATCTCCACATTCTCTTGGGAAAGTAATATCCTATGATAATCTACTTCACAGCCACAAGTTTTGTGCCTCTTCCATAGCTTCTGTGCATGAGCCTCAATCTTATAAAGAGGCCATCAAGAGTGAAGAATGGAGGCAGGCCATGGAAGCTGAGATAGAGGCCTTGGTCCACAATAATACATGGACCTTGACAGAATTGCCAGCAGGAAAGACTCCCATTGGTTGCAAATGGGTGTATAAGGTCAAACATAGAGCAAATGGATCCATAGAAAGATACAAGGCTAGATTGGTTGCCAAAGGGTACACTCAACAGCTAGGAGTGGACTATATTGAAAATTTCTCACCTGTGGCAAGGATGACTACAATCAGAACATTTCTGGCAGTAGCTGTTGCTAAAAGATGGGCAATTGAGCAGCTTGACCTCAATAATGCATTCCTCCATGTAGATCTAGAAGAGGAGGTTTACATGGTTTTATCACCAGGGTTTCAGAATAGCAAACCAAATCAAGTAAGCGAGCTTATGAGATCCTTGTATGTACTGAAACAAGCTTCTAGACAATGGAATGCTAAATTGACTATAGCTTTGCAGAACACTGGTTTCTCTCGGTCCTCAGTAGATCCCTCTTTATTCACTAAGCAAACATGAAGTTCATTTATTGCTTTGCTGATATATGTAGATGCTATTCTGGTAGCAGGAACAGATTCCAATCAAATCAAAGAGCTCAAACAGCTGTTGGACCAAGCTTTTAAGATCAAGGATCTTGGCAATTTGAATTATTTTTTGGGCATTAAAGCTTTTAGAACTCCCAATGGCATCAACATATGTCAAAGAAAGTAAACCCTAGAAATTTTGCAAAAAAGTGGCTTTTTAGAGGCCAAACCTGCATCAACACCTTCTGTTCCTGGCCAAAGGCTTACCTCCAATGAAGGAACTCTCGTTGTGCATCCTGAAGTTTTTAGAATGCTAGTTGGCAAACTTCTTTACATAACCAACACCAGGCCAGATATAACATATACAGTCCAGCAGTTAAGTCCGTTTGTGGACAAACCAAGGGACAGTCATTTGATTGCAGCCCATAGGGTGTTGAGGTACCTTAAATGTTCTCCTAGAAAAGGCACTTTCTACTCATCCAACAACCCACTAGACTGCAGGGCTTTTCTGATTCAGATTGGGCAACTTGTAGTGAGACTAGGAAGTCCTTGACTGGTTATTATGTCTACCTTGGGAATTCATTAATCTCATGGAAAACCAAGAAGCAGGTAACTGTCTCAAGTTCTTCCTCAGAGGCAGAGTATGGGGCATTGGCCTCAACAACTTCTGAGCAACAATTGTTTTTATACTTGCTGGCAGATTTGAGATCAGAAGTAATCAAGCCTGTGGCATTGTTCTGTGACAACAGTTCTGCTATTGCAATATGATAGAATTATGTGTTTCATGAACATACAAAACACATCGAAATTGATTGCCATATTGTTAGGCAAAAGGTTCAAGAAGGAGTCATCAAACTATTAGGCATCACTTCTCAAAATCAGACAGCAGATGGATTCACAAAAGCTTTGCCAAAACCCTTGTTTGATGTTTTTCATGCTAAGCTGGGCTTGCAGGATCTCCATGCTCCAGCTTACGGGGGGGGGGGTGATGAAGCAAGTAGAACCGGGGGGGGGGGGGGTGATGAAGCAAGTAGAACACGTCACCAACACAGCTAGTGAAGGAAGCAACACTCTCAATTAAACAGCCAGAGACTTTTAGGTCTTTTCCTAAGAGTTAGTTATAACGACTTCTATATATGTTGTAGGAAGAAGTTCCCGCTCGATCATTCTTCATTATTCCTCCTTTCCTTTCCCTCTCTATAAACAATACGAATCATCAATGAAGTTTGTCTCTCTTTTCTATTTGCACTGAACCATTTCAGCAATTTAAATCTGGAGGGTGTGGTTGAGTGGAATGGACTCATCCATCCTTATCCAAATTAAAGGTTAAGGGTTCAATCCTTAGCATTGGAAATAAAGCAGCCTTTAATCTTCAGGCCAGCTGTCCCACCCAAAAGCGGTGCCTACAATTTAGCGTTTACAATGACATGTAAATGGCCAGTAATGCTAGTACCCCTAAGCGAGAAGAAACCATATGGCTTTTGAAAAATTACTTTCGAGTTTATTTTTAGTCTTGAAAAACCTTAGATGTGTTGTTTTTATGTACACTTGAATACACAACGCTTCAAAGGCAATGATTATTTTTAAACCGTTGTCTTTGTGCGTCTTTTTCTTAAAGGACAACAATTTTATTCAGTATGCACTAGTACAGATATGCACATCCGCTACCCTTGTAAAGGGTTATCCGCTACCCTTGTACAAGGGTAGCGGATTTGAGGGACGCTAAAAGCCTTGAGTTTTCCGCTACCCTTGTGGGCTACACTTTCCACAACGGTAGCGGAAAGTTGAAATCTGCTACCCTTCTAAATATAGAAGGGTAGCGAATTTTCTTATTTTATTATTATTTTATTTAAGCATCCGCTGCCCTTTTTACAAAATAAGGGTAGCGGATTTTTTTTTTTTTTAAACATTATTATTTTTTTATTTTTAAATGCCCCAATTTTTATAAAAATCCTATTTTCATGCACTACATATCAAGATAATACTAATCATCAACACTATTATAGACAAACTATCAAAAACAATATTATCAACAAACTATCAAAACACAATATTATCAACAAACTATCAAAACACAATATTATCAACACTCAACCAAATACTATCAATACAATACTTTATATCAATGCAATATAACATATAATCTAAAATAAAAGTTACACATACTCTTCCAAAAAATATTTTGCTCATAAGTCTCGAATCCCATCTATTTCATCGGTAGAGTACGAATTTCCTTCAAATACCTACAAATTAATTTAATTAATCAAATTACTAAATAAGTTAATTAATAAAATATAATTTAGATATTCTATATAAATTTACTTACCAAATGTAATAATTTGTTATTCAAAGTGATGAGCATGCAGCAAAAACTAAAACTTACCGATAATAAATTTGCATATGATAATAGATACTTTATACTTTCAAGTATATATGCATGTATAAAAATAAGGAATGTAGCACATGATCTTTTTAAATATGATTAGCATGCTACATTCATCACATAGATCATAAATGAATACATAACTAAAGTTTAGCAAAATGGGACTGTCAATGAGAAAGTTGATCCTTACTGGCCTGATTATGTCTGATTGAGGAAGTTGATCCTACTGGCCTGCATTCACATCATCTTCAAAACCACATTCACAACTCTCCTACATTTAAAAGAAGCATTGCTTAAGAACAAAACAAGACTTGACAAAACCACACAGAAGCTTCAAGCTTACCAGGAAAAGCTTCTAACCTTAGCAGTGGCTTTCACAGGCCGAGATGATCCAACGCTTATCCACATTGAAGCAATACCCACTTTGCCTTTTTGCTATAACTATTATAATATCCCAACAAAAAACCACAACGAATTTTGTCTTTATCAACCACAATACCTTGTGTTCATCAACAGGATGCTAACCTCTCTTTCTATGCCTTCTGCACAATGAAATAAATTTTAAAAAATTACTTAAATATTCAGTGACACACTGAGTCACTAATGTTAAATATACAATAGTCTAACTATAATGAATAATAGTATACGAGAAACCTGACCTCGTATGATAGCGGAAGCGTAGCCATGTAGATCTCCAGCCATAGTTGATGTTCCTGTAGTATTGCCACTTAACGGTAGACCGTCAGCCATGTTTTGCCTCAGACCTGACTCAGAACCCTAGATGGTGTATTGGTATCTACTGAGCGGTCTGAGTACCGTAACTGAATGTGCTAACTAATCCATAATCCTGTATCCCATCAATCCAGGTTATATTAGGCACAAAGTTTGGTTGACTAACAACTACTAGTTATTAAGTCCAACCAGACCACTTAATAAGCCTAGTCAACTTGCACCACTTAATTAAGGCCCTAATATATAATATCAATATATATTATAAGGGAAAATCTTACATTCTCCCACTTGGTGCAAGTACTAGCACAACCTTCATCAAAGAACAAAACACACGAATCATAGTGACATGTCCTCTATTTAATCAGAGTAGTATCCATTATGGTCACATGCATTTTAATTCTCCAACTTAGGTCCTTAATGAACAAACCCTATGTTTATTCTCGGTACCTTAAGGGATGTTTCTCAAATACATTATGTGCACAACTGAAGGAGAGAACGCATCCAAATTGTACAAAGAGTACACTATATGATCTCTAAAACTTTATAAGCATGCCTTAAGTAGAGATCTCTTAATGTTAGCATAATGCTAACTATATTCCATGACTTCTTTATAAGTTAACTTTAAGTACTATCTCTAACAGCTAAGAGCTTGGAGTTGACACGTCTGTCACTCCCACTCATCAAAAATAGCCAAAAGATAGTCAAGTCATAGAAGCATTCCAATAACTTAGACAATAAACCAAACGTCTTAAGTCCATGAATTTGGAATCTTAATCATACACCATAACTTCCCAAATAACTTCAATGTTCACTTTAAATGAACTGAACATAACGAGTTTTACTTATATGCCCCCACAAAATTGTCTTAAGCCTTACAAACCAAAATGGCCCAGGATCAATTTTGAAGAAACTAAAGACTCTATTCATCACTGAAGAATTTATTAAATGACAGTGCACCACAAGTTAAATGCTTTTGTTCTAATAAATTTTATAATATTGTTACAACATTTTCATAAATATGTTGTACAACCAAATGTTCAATAATTTGAACTTATGAATTTATATGAACAAATACAAGATTAATATTTGTGGAATCTTTTGGACTTATTGTCTAACATACAACCCAATTTGGAATGTATGAAGCCATTTAAATCCATAAACTTTAGTGGAGTAACTTAATGATCTTTTTCTAAATGATCACTCCCACTGATTAAAACATTCTTCAGCAAAATTAATAAAATGAACTTAATAATATACATACTCATAATTGATTTATTGACCAACTAACAAATGAAGACATAATTCCCCACCATTAGTTGACATACTAAATAATCAATTTTTGGTTCCAATTAAAGTCCAACTAAATAATGAAGATATGTTTCCCCACCATAGTTGGACATACTAAAAAAAAAAACAAAATACACCTCCCAAAACCAAAGTAGAATTTGGCTTAAAAGATACATTTTATTATTATTATTGGAATCCAAGAGGTATGTCAAATCACGTAACTTACTACAGTTAGTCCGAAGAACCGAGCAAGATTCGTGGATTAATTAATAGAAGTGGCTAAAACTTGCCTGTGGACTAAAGTTTTACTCAATTAGATCCAACTGAAAAATTTATTTATGATGAAACCATTATCAAATGAGTTGAAGAATCAAATGACACAAAACTTGCCTGTAGGGTAAAGTTTTAGTCAATAAGATTCATTACTACCATTATGATAAAAAACTTAAGAGATCATGTTCCTTTTCTTAATCCCTGTGGGCAAATTAAGAAATATGATCTAAAGTTTACATCATAAAATTTAAACTTCATGATAGAATTGAAAATTATTTACAAATAACCATATAGTAAATAAATAAATTATTTCTATCATCACTGATAAAACTACTAAACTACATTCCGATACATAATTGCCTGTGGGCTAAATTATGACCGTAGTCTAGTATTTCATCCTGATTAATTATACAAATATAACGAAATTGCCTGTGGGCTAAATTTCATCATATTACATACAATTAATCACAAATGATATGTCCAAAACTTTATGTGATCAAAATAAACCGCTTAATATATAATTTTAACAGATTAAGGATGCTGTGGCTACTCCAAAATCAAATTAAAATTATAAGATCACTAGACAATTATCAAATTCTTGCCTAAACTTTATATGATTAATACTTAACAATCTTAAGTAGCCAAATATGCTGTAGCATTTTCTTAATTAACCAAGATTGAAAACTCAAGATATTTCAGTAAATTAAAGATGCTTTGGATATTCTTTAATGAACCGAAATAAAATCACATTGGCAAGAAATACTTAAAATTTTGACAAACAGATTATACCAGATTGTGATGGGAAAATCTAAATATACTCCAAGGAAAGGCGGTTAGAGACTAAGTCTCACTGAAAACCAATTCCTTAAATAGAGTACCAATTTAAGGAGACTAGTGGCACAAGATGTTCTTAAGTCATGGCCATTAAAAATAGTATGTCTCCCCGATTCATATATACTTAATGTATAACTGTTTGGGGGTATGAACCTAAAACTGTAGGGTATACACCAAAAACTGTATGGTTCACCTATGATTAAAGCTTAAATGGTGAACTAAATTAGCGAACTAAACGTGCTTAAATTCAGGCACTACCGCGACTAAAGTTTATGCATAAGTCCAACTTAAATAGGAACTAATATAATTCCATCCCAAAGTATGCATTGCTAAAGGCATAATAAAATTGCATAATTTAAAACAAAATATTATGCTTAGGACAAATATGCATAAAATTAAACATTAAACTCATATATTCCAAATAAATTGCATAACTTAAAACAAATTTACAATATGAGATTTCAAAGTATAAATTTAATATTCAAACATCAATGAGTCCAAACCAAAAGAGACCCAACATTTTGAATAATAATGTACTGAATATATACTTTAAAATTTTTAAATTGTAAGCCCATGGTAAAATGTTTTAATACATAAAGATCAAATTTATGAGAAATAACTGAATTTACAAATTCAAACAATATCAAACCAAAAGGATATGCTATCATTTGTAAATCAAAATCTCACAAACCCTAATTGCATAATTAAACTTAATATTATGCAATTAATATGCATAAAACAATCTAAAGAGTATGAACCAACTAAAGAATATGAATTTATACCAAATATTCATACTTAATCAAACATGGGCAATCAGAACTAAAATCATAATTCAAAGAACTACATGAATTATGGAATTAATGGCAAAAGTCAAATGCCTAGAAAATATGTTTTTCCAACATTACTAAATTGATTCAAATCACTCTCCATAACTCAGTTAATAATAATATTATTATTATTAATGGCAAAATTGCAAATAACCAAAATAGCAATAAATAGCCATAATAATATTATCACATTATGTATGCAGGAGACTAAATATAGAAAGACAATGGTTAAAACCGCTAACATTTATAAACGTTTTCGGATAAAATTTTGAAAACTTAATAAAATTTAAAGTCCGAAAAATATTAATGTCCAGAAAATTATTTTTTGAACTGGAGCATTGTCACATAAATTTATTTGGAAACAGTTCAATGTGTATAACTGAATACCATAACAATATTAATGTAATCATTAATTAACTAATTATTAATAGCAATAAGTAACATTATAATCACTATTAACATTAGTAATGACAAACTAAAGTATGGTAATGCACTTTTAATGTTTTCATTTTCTAAAGATAAAATATGTGACTAGTCCAAATTAGCGGTTAACTATAACTGTAGCACTAATTATCAATAATAAGCATAAAAGATAACTAATGACTAACCTTAATGATGCAAACCGCATCTGCCCATTGCGCTAACAACGATGACGATCCACAAGAGAAGAAAAGACTTCAGAATTCTCCCAATCTTCACTATCGGTGTCAATAAACTCGATGCAGCGTCCAATGGTACATTTAAAAAAAATTTATTGGTAGGACTTAATTACCAACACTAATAGTCATGTAAAATGAAGTGGTAATCTTACCAATGTACCAAATATAGCAGATTACCATTAATAATTATTATGGAAAGTAATAAAATGAGATTAGCCCCTAAACTGAATAACAGTAATTAATAATGCCAAATTTAAGTGGCAAAACTGTAATTAAGGGATGTCAAATACTTAATCTCAATTTTACCACATAATAATTAATCATGACTATTATGATACATAGGGAGACTGAAGTTAGGTAATAACCAAATTACCATTATTCTAGCAATATACCAATTATATTGCTTTTGCCATAAATTAAAGACTTAATATTATTATTAAGGCCCTAAAACTATTGATAGATTAAAATTTAATCGACTTAAACAATAGTTTGTAATTCTTAATGGCCAAAATAACAATTAAATCCTTAAATCCTTAATGTCTCTAAACAGGCCGAGACAATAATTATAGCACTTAATTACTCAAATTAGGCTCATAAACCTCAATGACCCAAGTGAATTATAACATGAATAAAAAATGGTCTAAGTACTGAAATAGACCCAAAACTTAATATTATTACCAACGATGAATACCAAAATATGGTAGTTAGTAATAATTAAAAGTTAATAAAAATGTTATAAGAAGCTATAATTATTATTTAAATTTAAATATCAATCAAAATGATGGTATTTATACTTTAATGACCCAAGATAGGTCCCAAATAGCTTGTTCAAAATAGGTTCTAAAGTCCCAGAGACACATAAAACTAAAATGTGCTCAAAATTAGTGGGAAACCAAAACAAGCTACCTTAATAGGTCATAATATCTAAAATTGACCTAAGGATCCAAAATTGAGTGATAATTAATAATGAATTTATGAGTTAATAATATGCTAAATCCAACCTTAATGCATGCTATTATGAATGTATAATTATAACAATAATTTATGAATATACGTAGCATGCTTGGATGTGCAAATTAATACATTATT